TTCCTTTCATTTCATTTTCAATCATTCCTTTGATCTCATTCATCATTTCCACTTTCATTCTTTTTATTCCAATCTTCATTTCTTTTTTCATCTTATCCATTTCTCCCTTTACTTCACTTTTCACTGCCTCTTTCATGCTCTTCATTTCATTCTTTATTTGATCTTGTCGAACCAACATTTTGTCTTTCAATTCTTTCACTTCGTTCTTCAGTTGACCACAGTCATGACATTTCAGTTTCCTAAAATCACATACTTCAGTTTCATGGTGAAGCTTGTCTCTCACATTCACGAGAACATTACATCCATCATTGGAACATTGCACGGGAGTGAATCCACAACTCGCAACGTGACGTTTGAGATTTTCAACTTGAACCATTTCAAGGCACCCTCTGGGGTGGAAATCACAATGAATATTCAGCTCAGATATATAATCCTTGACAATCCTCGAAGCTGGCTTTAGTGTGTCGACGCTGAGGTGTTCAAGACACGTCGGACAGGACGAGGACTTTTCCAAATGCTTTTTCATACATGAAGAACAATAGTAGTGTTCGTTCTTGCACATAACGGGATCTTTAAGAACTAGGAAACAAATGGGGCAGTGAAATCTTTGACTGACAACGATCTCGAAGCGATTGTCTTCATACCCAAGCTCGTATTTACTGCACGCCATTATTACACCGTTTCATTCACCAAAAGTTTACAGCAACTCAAGGTCTCCAAAGTTAAAAGCAACATAACAACTGCAATGGTTCACACTCCACATGTATTGTCAGAACCGGGCGGTTGTTACTTCCCATCCACCAAACTGACCCGACGTCATTTTTCGGAAAATGGAAGGGGTGTTAAATGGCTATGTAACTGACCCAAACCCTACCCCTACGCTAACCCTAACGTCCTAACCGCAACCCTAACTCTAACCCTAACCGAATTAATAAAAAATCCAAACAGAAACGACTTTAAAAAATCGATAGGGCAGTTTGCTGGATGGAAAATAGTGTACTTTAATCGATAACTTTAGCACAGAATAACTTTAGGTAGGGGTGCACCGCAACCCCGATTTTTCAGAGTTCTGGTACTGATAGAAAAAGGCCGGAACCAGAACTCTGTCGTTTTCAGAAATTTGGACTACACAAGGAAAATGTGCACTATTAACACTTGATTACTGTATTTTGATAAAGATCGATCCTGAAATGACGGTAACTTGATTTGGACTTGTAAAATAAGACGTGTTAACAACTTTATCAGACACTCTAAGCAAATACTGAGGGGTCCCCCTTGCCCCCAGCACAGTGCCCGCCATTGCATTGCTCTATTCCAGCGAGACAATATAAAAACGAAAAGAAAATTGTAATTTGCTTACGCACACGATCCAATAAAGCTGTACAATATACAAAAGTAAATCTACAAAAATATTCTCACAGAATTAAAAGTAAAACCGTAGCATAAAACCTAGCCTTCGGAAAGACCTATTTCGATAGATGCGTTATTTTTTGCGATATTTTCTGTTGCGTTCGTGCGCAAACTATATTTACATGTGATTTTTCTATAAATACTGTACAATTTATATAATAGTTCAGTCTCATTTTTTATTAAATTCTACAAGCTATGAATGATAGCTCAGCGTTTGGTTTTCTTGTTACAACTGTCAATCAAGTCCTCAGATTTCACTCAGTGTTGAGGAATACAAATGTAAGTGAGGCAAGAAAATTATAAAATTTTACCATCCTATTCAAAAACCACCCTCAAAGAAAATGAATTTGTTTCTTTTGTCATTCTCTGAGGGTCATTTCGAAATAGAATTACACCCCAGATCACGGAAGCCTACCAACGTCATCAGATTACATGAAGTGTTAGGCAATGACATGTGTTTTCAGACGAAATAATTTCTTTTCAATGTCTCCATGTATTGACGACTTGATGTTGATAAAGGTGATGACGTCATATTTATATCGTTATTTCTCCACATGTCTGGTCCATCATTCGTTGCAACTGCAAAAGTATAAAATTTGAATATCAACATCATCAAAAAATCTGTATAACAGTACGTTGCCCCTCAAAAAATGGGAGGTCCTTTTGCATCTAAAAGTTTATTAAATACAGCTACTTTAGTATTCAACTTACTTGAGTCTAAATGCCTTTGAATACTTTTACTGAGCTCTTTATCTACAGATTCCATTAATTTCTCTTTTGGCTGAAACATATTGATGATCATAAGTATATATTTTCTAGTACTAAACCACGCCATGCACAGAAACAATAAGAACCACAATCAAACATATACCTGTGAATAAATAAGTCCTGGACTTTTGTGATCCATATTTTCTCTATGGGGAATATCCAAAGTACTGGGCGAATGTTCAAGCCGTGACAAACCACCATTACCAAGGATCTTGTCAGACCGAGATCTTTCTAAACTACATTATAAGAGTATAATGTTGATGGCCAAAAGCAGGCCATATGGCTGGCAAAAACAAATTTGAACTGCCAAGTCAAAAAATGGCAGGTGAAACTCTATAGATATATTTAATTTCATTTGCTAGATCATTTAGGTGGCTAGTAAATACATTTATATTTGAAATGTAAATCCCAGTTTACTGTAGTTAAAATAGACAAGTTTAAAGGCACAGCTGTTTCAGCCTTTTGAATGATGGTTTTTAAAGCGCATTTCAGCCCTTTTGATTGAAAAAACTAACTAGGAAAATCAATTAAGCATAATTCAAGATCAGTAAACTCAATGTTTTTAACAATAAAAATGTTTTAAAATGTTAAAAACATTAAGTTTGCTGATCTTGAATTATGCTTAATCATTCAAAAGGCTGAACTGTGCCTTTAAAAATAATAAAAATGCATATCATCTCTTACTGATCCAGTGTTACTACACGAGAAAACCAGAACCAAACTACACTAACTTAATTTGTATACTGGATAGTTCCATCACGTCTAAAATGATGCTGAAAATATATACATATATCTCTAAACTGTCTTCTCTAAAAGATTAGCCTTGTTCAATCCTATATTAGCTTACTTGAAACGAGCCTTGGATTCCGCAGATTTTTCTCTCTCTTGAAAGAGTAAATTATTTAACTTTTCTTTTCGTCTTGTCTCGGTCTCGTACATGTCCTGCAATCAACCAGATAACAATATAACAACACGACAACGATATTCCTAAATTATCTGCATGATTAATAAATATTGTTAACTCCAGAGTGAACAAAATAAAGCAATATGGTTGGCTAATGTACTCATGAATTACTAATGAGTTTGAGATGGAACGCTCCCCCTTGGGTTGAGAATTCCTTGGACATTCTCCTTGGACACCTGCACCATCTCAAAAGTACCTTGAATCTTTCCGCTTCAACTTCTATCGTTTCCTTTTGAACCTGAAGTTGATGAAAGTTTGATCTGTATTGCTCATTTTCTCTCTAAAACAAATAATCACCAAGATGAGTGATTTTCAAGACGTGAAGCCAGAATGTCGGACGATATATATAGACTGGACTCACCCTGAGTTTTAAAATGGTTTCCTCCAATTCTTTAATTTTAATTTCTTCTTGTTCATCACGAGACCGTTCTAAGACATCTCGAGCTAGAGCCTGACAATGTAACAAAGATTGACGATAGATTTACTGTAACAGACTTTATACACTGCAAAAAAATTTCAGTTTCACCCCCATGAGTGACTCAAAATATTTATTAAATTACTCAAATTTATACGAGCAAATTTACTCATTTTTTTTGTAAAGGAAATTTTTACCCAAATTTTTTTCTGATAAATTTGAGTAATTTTACTTGCAATATGTTACTCATAGTTTTAAGTAAAAATTTTACTCAAAGTTTTCAGGAAAAATATTCAGGGATTTTTGCAGTGTATTGTGTGATTTTCCATATAAACATCACGAAATGATAATAGTGCACAGATTTACATAGAAATTCTACCTCTACAAATTTTACCTGTTCCTCCAAATGGGCGTTAACGTCCGCCAACTTGCGATTCAGCTCAATGCGAGACTAAAGAATTAAGAATTATAAATAATATTCAGAGAAGGAGAACAAACAAACAAACAAACAAACAAACAAACAAACAAACAAACAAACAAACAAACAAACAAACAAACAAACAAACAAACAAACAAACAAACAAACAAACAAACAAACAAACAAACAAACAAACAAACAAACAAACAAACCTTAGCCTCCAGGTCAAGCTTCATGCGATCTAATTGAGCTTTATCTACGAAATTTTCAGCATAATGAGCCTGGAATATAAAACATAGATCACTTTTTATTGTCATTGGTTTTTCTTGAGTGTATGTATGTAAAGCAAGTATACGACAGTCCTGGTCAAACAAGGATGACAGTTGATGAGAGGGCTTTACCTTTAAACTGTCCATATCATCTGCCATTTGTCGGTTCAATTTTTCCAATTTCTGCATTTGTCGAGATGAATCCTACAAAAGTTTCATAGTAATTATAGTTTCTCGCTGGCTGAAGTATGAAAGAAGCGAGAAACGGGTTCTCACACTGGGGGCCCCAGGCGAGGTGCTATGCCCTTATATGGGCATGCGCCTCGAGATAGAGCATGTTTTGTCTTTCGCCGCAAGTGTGGTAGTTCCCACCCACCCACCCTTGTGGTTCGAGACATTGTTTAGGGTTATTAATATTGGGTCTAATATGTTAATTTTGTGTATGTAAACAATTGTTAATAAAGGCACTGCTACTTTTGCGGTGGCAGACTACACGGCAACCCAGTGTGAGAAATAATAGTGAGCTTAAGCAAGTGACGTTTTTGACAACACGGACGTGGACCGGAAGCAAAGTTGACGTTTTTCACTAATCACAGCCCTCGACCCAGTCTTCTGACGTTACTCATGCCGTTCGTGTTGTCAAAAACGTCACTTGCTTAAGCTCTAGTGAGCTGCATGTACAACCTCGTACCCAGGGTTTCTGCGCTTTTTAGAGCAACAAGCGCAGAAGCTCTGGGTTGCCGCATGTACAAAAATATTCCTGCTCACACATTCGTTTTCTTTGTCCGTGTGTACGACGAAAATTATTAAATGCTATTATGATTTCACATATATGCAGCGTATATGCATATAGATGTATATATAGTTTTGCTTGTTACCCCCAAAGATTGCCAACTGCAGCCATGAGTTTTAAAGGTTGTGGTCTAAACGTGGACATGTGGGCGTCAAGCAATACAGGTAAACAACGAATTGGATGAAACAGGCTGTAAAGTGGTAACCTTTTATAAGGTATTGGCGTAAGCAAAACTATACTATTTGCTCTATCTATTTGATTTCGAGAACTCTTTAGCATTTCATGAACCAAAACACCCTCGTGTAATGCATATGTATACAGGCACAAGTATAAGTATATTGCGTATTGTATATATATTATACCTTCGCCTGACTCTTGGCCAATATCAAGTCTGAAAGAGAGAATAACACATCAGAACATATATACTATAGGTATACTGGTAAAAATTACGGAGCAACAACAACAGTTTCATAAACAATGGGCCTATACCTTTTTCATTTAGCTGCCCTCTTCTTTCAGCCAAAGCACGCGAGTCACCTTCTTGTCGTAACGTTTCGTTCATGTCACGAAGCTGGTGAAAAATTGAATTACAATATATAGCTAAGTCTGTAAATCATGACGCCAGATTATGTC